AGGGGCCGAGGTGGGCAGGGGTGAATCGCTCATTAAGCCAAGATTCCCGCTCAGAACAAGGAACGCTGCGCGGTCTCCTCGCAGTGTGCGTGCGCTGCGGCACCTCTGCAAACGGGCAGCAATTCAGAATATCTTGCCACAGTAGTCTGAGCCATCGCCTTTGCTAGCGGGGCCCACGTTCATACCTGCGTGGTCGCGGCTGTAGCTCAGGGCCTAGAGAGCTGATATGAACAAACCCTGGCTTCAGCATAAAGTAATCCAGCAGGAAGGAATCCTGTGAAGGCTCTTGAGACTAAAAACTGCAAACCGAGGGGTAAAGGTGAGTATTAGCTAAAAGTAAGTTTATGTTTGTAAAGCACAGTAAGCAAAGCACCAAGTCAGTCACAGAAAGAAGCAGGAACTTTTCTTTGCTCAGGTATCACAGCTGTCAGGTGAGTGGCTCCATTTTCTGAGGCACAGACCACTGCCCTTCCTCAGAAATTAATTCAGAAAAGAACCATTGCATTTGTAAAGAAATGAGTTATTCTAGAAATACTGCTATGGTAAGCAATTTCAGTCAGAAAAGCATGTGGCTGAATGTGATATCCAAGCAAACAGTACTGCTCAGACTGCACATCAGCAGACCACAAAGGGTCTTTGCCATATTGTACCCAGCACGTCTCAATTAATCAACATGCTCAATCAAAGGCTGCGAGCCCTTATCAAGAACAGCAGACTACAATAAGTTTGGTAATTCTAGGCCAAATATTTCTTCTAAAGATTTTTTTTCATCTTAAAGCCAAAGTATTTGGCATGATCCTCAAAAAGTTCTATCCTCTCTTCTCTTTCCTTTTAGCACTCATAAAATCTTTTGCTTCCTTTCTTCATCGTATTTCTGGGAAGTTATTTTGGCATAAGCTCATGCATTTAACATTTCAAAGAAACTGGTTTAGCTCTGGCAGCAATCATTTATACATTAAAAAATATTAAAGGAGTTAAAAGCTCAGAGTTTGAGACATTAAAAATATACACATTCTATAATATAATCTATATTTAATGGTTTGTCACATGGTAACATAGATGACAATAAGGACAGCGGAGTAAATCCGCAAAAGCAAACTCTTTAGTTTGGCACTGTGAACCCACATACTTTCTCTTAATAATAATTTCTACTATAAACACTGTTTTTTTTCTAGATTGTTTGAAGATTAGCTTGTTATTTAGCATTTAATACAGTCAAAATGTAAGTAAGCATATTGAAACAGACATAGATATTTTAATTTCAAATAAGAGAATGGGGGAAAGTGTTTTAGCTATCACATTTTGGCCACCACTTTAGATGACATACGTCTTCACCAAGAAGAGTCTACTTAATAGAGGATTTCAAATGACCTCTCAGGCCAATGGAGCAGGAAACATGAGAACAAAGGATAAAAGAGAGCATCTCAGATATATATTGCAGACAATGTGGCTTTTTTACTGTGTTTCAAGTGAAGATGCCCCAGTAAATCATTTTGCACCCTGCTTGTTCTGACAACACTCCTCTTGGGTGTTGTAATTCAAATTCCAAATTTTTATTTTGGATAAAAGACCCAAGTTGTAATCCAGAGATCACTATTCTCATTCTTTAAATGTCTCTTTAACCTTACTTTATTTCCCACCTATTAGGGGAATTTAACCTTTTGAATTTTATTCTTCTAGCTGCATACAAGTCGGTATTTTAAGCTCCAACACTGAGCTTTTAAAACATTGAGGCTTTTTCATTAAATAAGCTCAAATCCAAATGAAAACATCTGGATTTCAGTTTCCTGAACTGTTTTAACTCAAAGAATGGAAACTTCTAAACAATAAATTATCAGACAGTTTGCATTTGGGTTTAGTCAGTTTCTTCACTTTGCCCAAATACACTGTGATTTGATAATACTGTTTAACATGATTTGTTTACTGATAGGATTAAGTACTTTTAATACTTCCATGACTCCTAACGTTAGCATTTATTTCAGTTGTTACATTTGAGCAAGATAACTCTTGTCAACTAAGTATATACTACAGCCTCTTTTTATATGGTTACTTGTATCTAAAGCCATACAAATCTCATTGAGGTGGGGAAAAACTGCTTCTCCCCCTCAGCAAGGGGAAAAGTGACTTAAAATAAACTCCTAGATTTCAGGGACATGTATAGTTTTATTTCTTTCTGTAATTTGCCTAGATTCCATTTGCTGATTTTCTTTGATATTTCAAACCAAGTTGCACTGTACAGCTTTTACAGAAGGCAGCTTCACAAAGAAATGCCCTTGTAACTAGCTAAAAAATGCCTTTTTGTATAAAAGACCACATATGTAACAGTGTTCTTTCTACTGTACAAGGAAAAGAATAACATTATTAGCTCTTAAGATAAAAGCAAGTACACATCACTTCTTCGCTACTGCAGAAACTTGTTTTTCTAACTTCTGGGATGGAGGGCGAGGGGAGAAGACAGAGGAGTCAGTCTCTAATCAGTTTTTCCATCTCCCAAAACGGTGAAATTATTGAAAGGAAAAATAAAAACAAAACAAAACAAAACAAAAAAAAAAAAAACAACAAAAAGCCACCGTAAATTACTTTTCTATTACTGTGCAGATATCATTCATTCCAAATTAAGTTAGCAATTAATTACAAGGATTGCATCAGTAGCAGTCAACATATATTTAGTCAATCCTTCTGAAATACAATTTAAAGTCACCATAAAGAATATTACTGTGAGCCTTTAAATCCTACAAATGTTTCATAAGCAACAACTTCTTAAACCAGTAAGTTAAGAGACTGTAAAGGGGAGTAGTTTTATAAAATATGTTTATTTAATAACTTTATTCTATTCCTTTTTACATGTGTTACTAATTAGAGTGTTTTTAAGAATTTTTCATAGTCCTGTATAGAAGCTTTGGCAATCTCTGTACAAAACACCTCATCGGGCAAGGATACTAGCTGGTCCAGAGAGATGTAGCTGGGTTGTGCTGGGTCATACTGGGCTCTTCCCAAGAATGTAAGAAACATATGTCTCTCTTTGATTCGTAATAGCTTTGAGTTGAAAACCTAAGACAGAAAGAAAGAAAAAAAGAAAGGGAAGACTTTAAGGTTGTCTAAATTCCAGATTCTGATTAATCTAAAGTAGGAGCATTTTTTAGACAAACTGAAGATCTAGGAAGAAAACGAGTAATTTGCATCTTTTCTTCTCAGTTATGTCAAACACCAGGTAGGTTACATTTATATATAAATTATCTAAATTATAAATAAATGCTTTAATACAGTATGCTGATGTACACACACAAGGGAAATCAGGGAGTGATACAACTCTCAAGCATGTTAGTTTTTTGTTTATAGATGATGACTATGTTACTTTCGTGTAATCACAGCCAAGAAAGGGGAGAGGAGACATTCAGAACCAGGGAGTAAGAATACCTAAGCATTTTCCCTACACTGTCAGAAGCATTTGTTTGTACAGCCAGACTCAGATGAGCATTGTTATAAGGAAGAAACAAACAGGTGACCACATGGTGTAATAGAAACAAGTGAATCGCACAGTGGCAACAGAAAAGGTGAGTGGCTGCACCTCCTGTCATTACACAGCCAAAAGGCATAGTGCAGTGGTTCAAAATGATCACTTGTCTTCTGCTGCATAGCAATGCCTACCTTTGAAGAGATTTGTCACAAAAAGAATTCTAGACCGTCAGAGGCAAGAACAATGGTAAGGGAAACATGAAAGAAATCAGGGGAACATCTTACAAAGAGAGAGAAGTGGGGAAGACAAGAGTTGCACAGTTGAGTCTAAAAGCAGAGATCTAATTCCGCATTTCTGAGCAGCACAACTGAAGAGAGACAATGATTTAGAGAAGGTAATGGTGAAAACACGAATGCTAGAGCAATGAAAGTGAGCAGTTTTTACTAAAAATGACAGACTATGTTACTGAAGGAAGGATTTTATGAGAATGCAAACTAATTTTAACTAGGACAGAAAACAAAACTACTATTCTGCTGTTGCCTTCCTTGAATTTTAAGAGGGAGTCAGAAGACGGGGAAAAAACCTTCTCCATTGTTTATGCAGCTAGCTGACAGGAAGGATGGCTACAACAGCAGCTGTAACATCAGAGAGGATTTGACAAAAAAAAATCCTGTATGCATCTTATTTTCAGCATCACTGTCATTCAGAATAGAAACAAGAACAGACGGAGACAAGTATGTATTTGTGAATGCCCAAGTTACAAGTTATATGGCCAGACCATATACAGACTGAGTTGCACTAGCCATATCCCAGAACTCATAGTTTTTGAGGATGGAAGAACAGGGCATAGAGGAAATTACCCGTCCACAAAACAGGAAGGGAAATAGAGATGAACCACCATGAAGTCAACAGTAAGACAACTGAGAAGGAAGGGAGCAAGACTTGTGGTCACTTGAGGTCAAAGAGGGCAAAAGACATGGACTGGAGTTACAGCAAGCATCCTTGTTAAACAGAGATAGATATCAAGATAAGTAATCAAAATCCTAGGGAGCAGTTTTATTTCCCCATATAATGTTGGCTTTTTAGACAGATTAGCCTGTTAGATTCCCTACTAGACTTGCTTTAGGAAGAAAATTATTGCAGTTCAGAAGTTGTAATTTGTGCTTTCTTTTTTTCCTTGTAAGAAGGTAGTGTGACTGCATGTCAGCACTGGATAAAGTGACAAATGCTTTCAACTCTTAATTTGTGAGAAAGTAACAGTAACGAGGAGATTGAAAAAAACAAAATAGTCATCAAGAAAATAATCTCTTTTCACTCCTGTAGTTTTTTAGCTATTGCTGCAGCAATAGGAAGTTCAAAGATAATCTGATTGCCTAATGGACAGAACCTCTCTTACCTTTAAACTGTATTTTCAGATCCTAGAATCTATAAAATTTATTTTTTACTTAGACAAATCTGAAAGAAATGTTATTTATAAATATCTTATCTAATAAATACATCTTCTGCATGATCTGTCTTCTCTTGTGTCTCTTAGCTAGGTAAGATTTTTGGACAAGGAATCCCTAAGCAGGTAGTAATCACTCTTGGATGAATCCAGAAAAGATAAGCATGACTGCTTCTGTTGAAAACTTAAAAATTCACAAGACTGGGGGGTGGTGGTGTCACATGTGTCAGGGGAAAAAGGTCACTTCCATACTGGAATCTTCAATGGTTGCTGAATTGCTAATAAAAGTTATCCCAGTTAAGAGTAAAAGCTACAGACAAGTTGAAGAGTTCACTCATGTCCTGTATACAGTGAGACTCCACCTTCAGCACCAAACAAGTGGAGAAGCTGTACAAAGAACACCTACAATTTATTCCCAGACTAACAGCTCACCTGAGGAAAGTGAGTAAGCATGTGGTGGGGAATGCCCATTATGTTGTGTAAGTAGTCAAACGTCTGTTTAAGTCTCTTTTTACTGGCAGTTAAAATCTTGGGGGTTTTAAATACAATCTCTTGAATTTCATTAAGTTGAAAACCAAGTTCAATCTGACAAACCTGAAAAAGAGCACAATTTTACCTTCAGAAGTCAGCTACAGCAAACAGCTTATTTTAACATGCTACTGAAATAATCTAATGCAAAATTCTTCTACCCTTTGTCACACAGCAACAAGAATGCAACCCCACAATAATACCTGCCACTCCAGTTCTTCTCAAGTCAGATAGTGCAAATTATTTATCATTCTGGATTACAGTGTTATTTGTTTATAGAATATCCCTGAAGCATTTTGTGAATGCTATGTATTTTTCAGTTTGTCTAAGATAATGAACAAAAAAGCTGTGTCTCAGTATGCGTGGCAATTACAAGCATAAAGATGCTCCCTGAAGAGTCTTTAATCAGTTGCAACACCAAGCTGTCAAGAGAGATCAACTTTCTAGTTGTCGAGCTGTTGAGCTCTGTAAAACACAGCAATCAAATAGCTAGTGACTACTTTTATTAATGTGGGGGGGGCTTTTTGCTAATGGATCCAAGTTGTACTTTTATATTAGGAAGTATAATTTCAGTCCTGTAGTCTTCAACTGAAGTCTGTTGGACCTGAAAGAGATGTGTAGAATATGCAGCGTATTCAATTTATTTTACAGTTGGTTGATACCTGAAATAAGATGTCTTTTTCAGAGACTGCCTTGACTTCAATTATGGTTTCCCAAAATAAAAGCAAAATCCATTTTTTCAGTAAAATCATGAGCACTCCTCCCAAAGTGCAGAATGGCAAGCAGTTCACTGAGTTGTTGAGAAAGGAATTCGACATACAAGAGTGTCTGGTAACTCAGCCATTTCTCCTATCCTCCAGTGACACTTACAAGCTGCTTCTTTTCAGTCATGAAGTGCGTGTGCTTGCCAGTCAACATAACCAAACTTTCAAATCCTATTCAGGTACTTCAAGTTGGCAAAGGTGGGGCTTTTTGTTTTTCCAATTTGATATGCCAAGGCTACAGCTCTTTTCCAAAACTGCCTGGCAAATACAAAGGGAAGGGCTTACAAATCTGGGTTTTGAAGCTACCTTAGGACTTCCAGATCCTTACAGGGAGTTGTTTCTAGAAATTACTATAATCAGATCTTTCAACTCCTGGTTCTTCCTTATCTGCTTGATAAATATTTCTGTATCATGAGAAATACTAAGCAACTAAGACAGCATTCAACTATGCAGAGATGTATTTGCACTTCAGCGGTGTCTTCCACCTATCTGCATTGGCAGGGTTAACTTACTGCATTAAGATCACAACTGAGAGTATGACCTGATGTTAAATGAGTGGAGAACGTATAGCTGGACCCACTGTAGAGGCAACTGTGGCAAGAATTTTGAGCTTTTCTTTTCTACTCTGAAATGGAACAGCTCTCTTTTGACATGAATGGTGAGGTCAAGACTAAGTTGCTTTTGACTGCACTCAGTTTGACTGCAAGCATATTTAATATTCAGTAACTCTCTATGCCATGTATGCTATTATCCTTACTGTGTAAGTCCCAGCAATATTCAACACACTCTGTATGATTCCCACAACAGGCAGTGGTAATGCAAGTTTTCCAGTTTCATCCTATCAGTGAATCTCTAATTGTGTTCAGTGAAACCTTCAGAGAACGGAATAAGCCATCCTTCAGCTCATTTAGTCCATTGGTATTTTCTGAAAACCAGCATCAGCTGCAGTGGTTGTTTCTATGTAACAGCCCACTCAGAGTGAGGGATACCACCAGATCACTTTTGAACTGCTGGTATATGGTTTCACTTTCTGAGTACTGCCTGCCCACCACCAGCTTAGCAAATACAGGTCTGAACCTAGATTCTGAATCTGAGACATCCAACCTCCTGAAAGGCTGGAGCTTCTAAGTATCAGTAGATTCTAATAGCGAGGACCTAAAAGTCATTCCTCTCTCTCTCTCTCTAGAACATGTTAAAAATGACACTACACTTTTTGATAGATAGACAAGATAGTCACATAGAACCAAGGATCTTAAAAGCACATTCAACACATACTGAATCCCTAGTCTGTGGAAACAACATTCATTAAAAACAAAGCACTATTAATTGGAACAGTCTGCTACTTTCCAGTCTCCTCCCTTACCACACACACACATTTCAGATTTCAAGATTCCCAGTGTTTAATAGTTTCAGAGCAGCGAGTCTGTCTGAAAATTATATATTTTAATTAATAGTTATGCATTATATGATAATGAGATTTCTCAAATTGTTACACTACATCATGCTGTTTGGCCTAGATGGCTTTACATCACAATAATTAAACCAATGCATAGTTTAATTTTCAAAGAGGAAAGGAGTCCCTGTGGGTTTTAAGTTATTTACCCGACAGTTGTTAATAATGACCATCTGCTATCAGACAATAGGTGTCAAATGCATATTTTGGCAAACTAGCTACCTGCCAAGAGGAAAATAATCAACTGCACATTTCTTGTTCCTAAATCCTCATGGACAATCCAAGTTAGCAAAAAAACATAATAATTAAGGGAAAAAAAAGAAAAAATAAGCAAGCAGGCCCTATTTTTCACTCATCATAAAGAAATGGGTAACAATTTGTGTCCTCAAATAGCAGTTTTTGGCAGGAAGGAACCCAGATGAAGTTTCTAACCTACATCAGAGTAGAAAACAGAATAGGATACTGCTCTACATATGCTGTAAACTTGCAAGCTATAGAGGAAAATCTGCAGCTATTTTATATCTCTACTAGAATTAATTCATTAAATTATTTCTGTGCAGGATTCTCCTCCAAGAATTTTATCTTCTGCCAACTCTTAAAACTATTTGAATACGCAATACACTTTTAATACCTACTAATAAGCTCACCTGAAGATTTTCTTTTACAGGTTCTAATTTACCAGTCAGTAGCCTTGGAAGACGAATTACCAGATCTTTTGTCTACAATTAGAGAAAACACACAAAGGAAAGATTATTACTGAAAGCTTCTTTGTAAATCGATCTGTGAAAGAAAGATAGAGATATCATAGAAACTTTTTTTTTTCTAGTTGGAAGAGGGATGCATTTTCACTTGCATTTCATTTTATCCCTACCCCAAAGAATACATTGCTGCTTCATGCGAATTCGTAAGATGCAAAAAGTTACTCAAATATGCGTTTGGAAAATAAAAAATAACATAGCTGTTGTAAAACAGACAGGAAGAGGTAGTAAAAGCATACTCCACAAGTAGAAAGCATGCTCAAGTGCCCAATCTCTCTCAGTGCTCAAGTTGTTTCTTCCCACCTTTTTTAAAAAAAAAAAAGTAACCACCACACTACCTGATAGAAGCTATAAAAGGATTTTTCAGCTGCAGTGGAATGTCTACCTTAGGATCTAGTTAGACCACAGTAATCCAAGAAATTACTCCACATCCCCTAAACCCTGTGATTACTTGTCATATGCCCTGAACACAAGGCAGTGACAAAATCTGTTTCCAGAGAGATCTCTTACCTCAAGCACGGTAAGGCCAGGAACAGGCACTGTGACAGCTATGACTGTTCAGCTAATAGAAGCCAATAGAAGAACACCAGATTTCACTTGGAACTTGACATTTATTGCAATCCCCAGCTATTGCAGGAAGCAACTAACACTGCCCACTTATTCCAGGAAACTCCAGCTACTACCTCCTCTGAAGATGCCAGGCATGGTGCTAAATACCTGTTAAGCACGTAATGTGGTAAGCACTCAGGAGCAAACCCATGGGTTACTCTTGGTGAACTGTGCATATGATTTGGCATTTAGTTTGAGATGGTATTCACAGATTAGACTATTTTTCTCTGATGAGTTAAATATGTTATAGTATCTTGAAGAGATTAAGAGTGCCACTTTGTTTTCTAGAAGTTAAAAAAGCTGCTTGCTTATTTCAGCAATGGATTCAGTCCTCTGACCCACCTCAAACAAAAAACTGGACACACACATGCTTATTTGACAATAACTTGCAGCAGATAATTTTCAAGAACTGTACTTCAATGTTAGATGTCCATATTACTTCTATAGACAGTTAAAATCATGTTATCCTCCTGTAACCTGCTCTGTTACCATTAGTAATGTCACTAACGTTTGTGGATAACCTCCTAACCCTTGAAGTATTCATGGTTCAAGGCATTACAGTGGTCACTAATGAAGTACCTAAAGACTTCAGTCTTTACCTTTTTTACACTGAGACCAAGTTCATTTTTGAAGAAACCCAGTCTGTTATCCAGTCTTTCCACTGAAAACAACAGCAAATATGGAGCTCTTGAGACCATCTGAGCAATTTCTGCCTTACCAAATTTTTTTGATTTTAGGTAAGCCACTCTAGAAAGAGAACAAAAACAAAATAAAATCCAGTGATGAAAATTTTATTGCCTCCATTTATTCAGTACTTGCTTAAATTCCTTAGTGATATCTTATAAATGGACAGATGTTCTAGCATTAACATGCAACGCTGCCAAAAATAATTAGGGAGAAATCTGCAGTTATCATAAAAGCAAAATACCATCCCTTCCAATTAATTAAAAGTAAAATAAACCTCAGAACAGAATGTCAATACTGAAGACAGATTTTAATTCCTTCCAGCTGTACTTAAGCAGATAACTATGTTAACCTACATTTAACTACCAGCCTGTCTCCTAGATTGCAAACACATTAATAGATCATCATAGGGTATGGACAAGAAGATATATACAGCCTTTTGCTATTTTAATGAATTCCATTTCTGCTGCTGAAAGAACAGAGTACTATACCTCATATATCCCCATTTTGCCAATAGCACTGGAGTAGAAATATCATACAACAATGCTATCTGTAGAGTCATTGTCCAAAAAGACATTTCCAAATCAGCTGAAAGATGGAGTTTTGTTACAATAGGTCCCTACTTTCACTCACTGGTCCAAGGATTTAGTTACAAAACATCTGGTTGTCAGAAAGAAGGAGCTAACTAAAGTTAACAGAGCTTTCTTTCCAACTCAAAACTTTTTCCAAACTTTGAATTCAGTGAAAGTGAAATCCTGTTTCAAATACTACTTGCAGTAGATTATTACCATAGCTCCCAGAAAAATGAATTGGGGGGGGGGGGGGGAAAATGATTAACCCACATGCACATGCCACCATTTATACAAAAAACTAATCTACAATTTCAAGAAGTTTCCTCTGGTTATAAACGAGCATATACAGAAGTATTTGCTGTCGGATAAACTTAAATCATACAAGTACTGATTTTATCTGGCAGTAATTAAGATACTAAACAGATTGCAAAATATTCTGCAGGAGCATATATTCAGCAAAAGACAGGCTTGTGTGTTAAATCACATCTTGTGGAGAGAAAAAAACCAAAAAACACCTTCCAGTCACTACAACCTCCCTCTCTTTCCACAAACCCTCAAAAATGAAGCCATCACAAGCCAAAAACCTCCAGACAGAAGACCTAAGAACAAGGTCTAGAGGACCAATTCCTAACTGAGCAGGCACCCCAACACAGAAGGTAGTGGCCTAGACTCCAAATAATGCTGATGGAACTGTCTGCAGTAGCCTTAGAGACAAGGAGAGGTTAGGAGGGGGAGAAATGCAGAACACAACAATAAACAACTGGCCCTTCAAAAATGATACCATTATGTACTGAACACCGCAGCTTTGCTACACTATACTCTTCCATTCATTTTTTCAGGGTCAAAACTGCTAAGCATTTTAGAAACATAGCTAAATGGGCAGATTAAAAAGAAAACCTTTTGGTTTTCCTGACTCCCCTCTGCTTGTCTTCTGTTAACAAGTCATTGAGATTCACACCTGAAGCATTTCTTTGCATCTTGGAAAGGCAAGAAACTTAAAAGAGGGATATCAAGACCGTAATAACCTGACTGTAGAAACTGCTATATTAAAGTAGCACTATCACACAACCCAACTAAAGTTTGAGATAAATCTGTGAGTGTTGGCACCAGGGTTAGCCCTCGTTCTACTACAGGGGTCAGCAGTTCTGTGTAGCATGTTAACAGTTTTAAGCCATCATAAACGATACTGCAAAACAAAGCATCTGGTGCAGCTGCAGTACAGACACTGATTTGCAACTGTCAGAATTGTTATGAATTATGGAATGTTTTGACTTTTACAGTGTTTATCTGAAGTTAAATGCCAAATCTATTGAAATTTGTGTTTTGTTTCCTGGCAACATGGAATCCATAGCAATAAAACATTCCAGAGTGATGTAACCAATACCATGTCCATCTGCACCGAAGTGTTTATGCGAAGGTGATACTCAGCTTTCAAAAGACAGCTATCTGAGACACATTCACTCCACAGCCTGCCATACGCCCTCCGCAGCACACTTACTTTAAAACTTGCAGGAAAGCATTCACCAGTGCCAGTGATAAACTCACTGAGAAATGAAGCTGCAGAAAATGAAGAAGAAATTGGATTGCACTGTTCAGCCCTTACTTCACTAACCAGGCAGTGCCACAGGACAGTCACTGAAAAGCAAATCTGACTTCATAGGAGAGTTAGAGTGTTTATCATAGCAAAAAATACACTCTTCAGAAGAGTATAAGCAGCTCTGACATCTAGGGTCAAAACTACTGCTGAACACTGACAGAGGTTCTTTTCGGATATTGTTTCTGAAAGGCCACTTACTGAATAGGAGCATGGAAGAACAGAAGAGAAAGAAAAGTCAAGTCTCCGTTAGAAATGAACCTATGTTATACGTAAGTCTACTCATGTGCCTGTTTCCAAAAAGCTGTATTTTCAGATTTCTGCCTTGGACAGCTACTATGTACAAGAGCCAAGCAGACAGACTTTTTAATATTTTTTCTGGAATTTTTAAATACCAAGACCTTCTGAGTAAATTACAAAGTGTGTGCACACACACACACACACACACGAGTTGTTCTGTAAAAGAAGTGCTCAATTAATGCAACACTGTCTGGAGTAATTTTAAGAATGAAAGTCCATTTTATGGACTGCAGAACAATGTAGGGCATACACATGTGAACACACACAAGAATTAGTTCATTGTGGTTCCAGTTTGAGCTTTTTGGAAAAAAAGTCACCAAAACCTTCTGCTGTTATTAGATGTAAACACAGAAGAAATCTGGTCTGCTTCATTTACTGCAGAATTCACAAGGTATGGGTAGACATATCATCTAGAAGACCAGTTTCAAAGCATGACTGAAGAGGTTAATATTGTTCTACAAGTTTAGGTAAAGCCTCAGGGACTACTCAGGGGCTAACATTTTGGAATCTAAGCTGACCCAGGTAAAGCAAGTGGCTTAGGATGGCAGGCTGCTTCCTCTGTGGCAGAGACAGGGATGAGCTGTAAAATTTGTTAATGGTCAGTCTTCCAGTGGATCAGGGTGTTGACTTATGATACTACCACATCTTAATGCTGACTGATGGGAACGCACAGGAACACAGAGCCAGGGATCAAGTGAGAAAGGAAGCAGCAGCAACATGGGTTCAGACAAGGTTAAGCCAACTGGGACACCAGGTCTTCAAGCCAAAGGACTTAACATTCTGCTGATATTTGAAAGGCCTACCTGGTTTCTAAAGCTTCCAGATCTTCGGCAAGGATGTATGGATTTTTGGTCAGGAATGGTCCCAGCTGATTGTCTTCTACACCCACATCCTTAAGAAAAAGAAGTATCTTTCTTATATCTTTTTCAAAGTCCAAGGTCAGTAAGAGTTGACCTGCCTTTTGACGTTTCTCTACTTGGGATAAGTCAACTCCTACAATAAACAAAATTAGAAATTGTTTTAATTAAACACAGACCCTACTCCTATAAATGTTTCACAAAGGCATGTTGAAATTTATAGGACGACTACTTTTCTTGCACTGATTTAGCATATTTCAATTGCTCAACACAGCAAGGTCACAACACCTTGTATACTGTGGAAAGATTCCAGATAAAACAAGCAGCCACTTTAGACACTTTTGCTGAGTTTATTATTTGAAGGAAGACATTTGCAGTGAATCCTGCATGTGAACAATCAAGTCCACGAGCATGTGCCACATGCAGAGACCTACTCCTGTTGCTCAGAATTATGTGTGCAAGGAATTCCCAACTCCATTACACAAAGGAAGGGGACAATTTTGCAGTGAAGTGCCTTTGGATACTGGCTCACACATAGCAATTTGTTACTACATGGGGCCAGATCTCCCCCTGTCAAGTATTTATTTTTCCAACTTTCTTCCAGTGTTCCTTGCACTTTTGGGAAACAAGGAGGTGGCCAGCAACCTTGAACACAGCTACCCCTGCAGAGTCCACATGCTTTTTGATGAGACATGTTATCTTCCATCCCTTCATTCTTTCATTCATTGCCTCTCCAGTTTACTGTGCCCCACTTCTAAGGTTCTGCACCCCTCCCCGCTCCCTTCCCTCCCTCCCTCCCTCAGACAGAGAGCTGCAATATTTTCACAGCAAATTAAAGCATCTTTAACCAGCCCAAAAGAAAGACCGATCAAGTTACACAAAGTGCTCCCCACCTCTGGAAGCTGTGGGAGATGCCTCCTTCTAGCATACACAGCACTAAGGGACTAAAATTAGCCAACTTTGTCTTCATGTAATATGACATTGCTAGTGAGCCATGCAATCTCCTCTCTTTCCATTTACCCTGGATAACATTCTGTTGCTTTTACCCACTGGTCAGTGTTCCTATTTTCAAGTTTACAAGGCAAACAGTAATATCAAAACAAAAATTATAGAATCTCCAAAGCCCCAGACATAGGCAAACCACATAAACAAAAGCACACATACCTAGGTGGACAAGTTTTGCCAGGGTTTCTGAGTGATCGACATAATCTCGGAGTGTGGAAGACTGAAGGGGAAGAATCGGTTCTGCAATGATCTGTACAGCTTCTTCCTCAGAAATCTCCTCCAAAGCAGATGAAGGTGGGATGTCATCCCAGTCTAAGAAACAAAAGACCCAAATGCATTTTGTGAAAGACCTGTGTGTGAGCTGAACAGCCAATCTATTACTATTAAAAAGCATATGAAAACATAGAGTACTCCCAGTTTTTGTCTCTGTTCCATCTCCTTGTCACTGTCCATATAGACAAATCTGAGTGTAGTACCCAGCAAGCCTGCCTTCAGTCTGCTGCCTTGATCACTGAAGACAACAGATCACATCACCTTCTTGAAAAAGAATCTTCTTTCATGTTTTCACAAATGCATTCTTGCCTTTTCCTATCCAGATCAAAGACTACTGCAAAGATTATTTTTCATAATCTGACAAGCCCACTACTTTGTGCTTCTGAATATGATGCCTGAACTGCAGTTGTTTTAACCTGCATGGTATTTCACAGCCAACTCCAACAAAGCTATCATGTCTTATCCATTACAGAATGGCTGCTGACTGCCACCACCTCAAACTAAAGAAATCAAGCTCCATTTTCTATTAATTAAGGTTTCCAAGCAAACATCATTATGCTTGATCCCCCTTCAGTGTTCCAAGTCACAGAGCCCAGTGTCTTTTTAAAAAAATATTTCTCTAAACTGATCTATTTTTCCACTGACAGCAGCTAGATCAAGATTACTGTTTGCAGGCTGGTTGCTAGCATCCACCTCAATTGTCAAACTGATTACTGATCATCATCCCTATTATAAACTCTTCAGGATGGAGATTTTCTGTGCCCTGTACCTTTGCACAACGACATCCTAGAGACTAGGGTAACACTCTTCCATATCAAGAAAACAAAGCCACACCAGAACTACCAAGACAGGTTCCAAAGCAGGATGATCCTAACGTTCCAGGAAGAGCTGCACAGACTAGTTCAATAGCTGTAGAAGGTCTTGCCACTTGTTTTTCTCTGAACCACAGAAAGAAAGCATGGTAAAATGTTTTTAGCAACATTTACACCTTAAACAGTAATAAAAACTCTCTAGGAATCCATATGGATGTCAAGTATTTTCTTTAAACTTGTTGAGGACCGAACCAGTGTACACCAAGGTCCACTCCAGAAGCACGGATGATTTTTTTGCCACTTTAAGTTCTTTAGACCTCCAATCAGGAAACATACCTCAAGTCATCAAAAAAAAAAAAAGTTAGCAATTTTGTTTATTCCATTATATACAGTGCCAACTGGGCAAAATCCTACACACACACACACACACACACCAGCAAGTCTGCTGGCAGATAGAAATCTGGCACATAGATAAACTGCACCGCAGGTGCAGACACATAGGAGCTGGCTGACCTGTCAGTTCTGCTGGAGCACTGTTTCCAGAACCAGCTGCACAAACACACAGATCTCAGTTGCAGCTCTCAGCCACCCCAAAAATAAGCTCTGTAGGATCCAAGTTGGCTGGTCTTAAAGCAGAATCTGAACATACAAGACTGCTTAGTAATCCAGAGCAAGTTTCCTCAGTATAGCAGAATTATTTTCAGAGGGTGGTATTTTTTTTATCCTCATTTAGATATAAAAGTAGAGAAAAGTGAAGCAATTTCCTCAGGGCAACACTACCAAAGCGACCTTGTATCTATCTCCTTTCCTCAGGAGACAGCTGGAGGAGCATTTCCCATGAGGACAGTCAGTGCTTAAAGCAGGCTTCACACTCTGCTGCCTCCTGTTGTCCACCGCCGCAGTTTTGCGAGCAACTTCAGGGGTAGCCTCGAATCCTTGCTCAAAAAAAACCAAATCAACCAAAACTGACAAACACACACTTTTATTTTGTACCGGTACAGCTATGAGGGAAAGACAAATGCTCAGCTGCTGAAGGCCGAGTTACAAAAATCCCTTCAAGCAGAAGCTTCACACTGACATTTCTACCCAAAACATTTTATCTCAGCTTAATGGTATTCTTTGTATGCTAGAGTGACCACAGGAATTCTTTGTTAACTATGGGGCTAAAAAGAAGTGAAAGTCAGGAACTTCAGATAAATGTTTTAGATAAACAGGCCAAGAAAGAAGAAACAAGGGTAATACTGCAAGCATTATTTGGGAGAAATGGCATCCCTAAGGCTTCTTACCTTCATACAGTATTTTTGCATTCAGATCAGGCAATGTTTCTGCTTTTACTTGTTTCTGTTTTACTGGTGAAGGCAAGGTACTTTCGGGACAAGAAAAGGATCCATCCTTGGCACTGCCAGGTGGAGAGCAGCTTACTAGAGATACACGCCTGTATGCCTGCCGTCTCCACGGAAGAACATTTCTAGAGGGCAGCGCGGTGAACCCGCGACATGCCTGTGTGGTGCTGCTGCGGCCGCTCAGCCTCCCAGGAAATTCAGCAGCACGGGCCGATGGCAGCAGGAAACACCAGCGGGAGACCTGCCGAGCCCACGAAGCCATCTTCCAGCTCATTGCATCATCCTGCTAGGAGAGAAAGGGCTGAGGACTAACACAGGCGCTGCCTCACCTCGCCCGCAGGGCTGGGAGTGTGAGTGTTAGTCCCCTGAGCGTAAAAGCAGAAGTTATTCGCTACAAAGATTAAATAGCTGCTCTGAGGCTTTAAACGCGTGACAAACGGAGGAGACGTTAACGGAGGAGAGGAGCCGGCTCTGAACGCCACAGCTCGCTGCCCTGCAGGGCAGCCGGTCCCCTGGGAGCACAGGGGAGGCCCAGCCGGAACCTAGGCCCTCCCCGCGGGACGGGGCCCTCCGCGCAGAGCCGTCACCTCACGCCCCGCCGCAGGGCGGGGGAAGCCAGGCCGGGCCGCGCCGCGCTCACC